TTTATTACTGATTCAATCTCATGGCTCGTTATGGGTCTATTCAGGTTTTCTATGTCCTCCTGATTCAATCTTGGTAGATTATACACATCCAGGAATCTGTCCATCTCCTCCATGTTCTCTTGTTTGTTGGCATACAGTCGCTCATGAAATCCTCTAATGATGTTTTGTATTTCTATTGCATCTGTTGTAATGTTGCCTATTTCATTACATATTTATCTGGTTTCTTTCTCTCTTCTTTATCAGTCTAGCTAATGGTGTGTCAATCTTGCTAATCATTTCAAAGAACCAGTTTTTGCCTTTGTTTATTTTCTGTGTAGTTCACTTATTCTCTATTTCATTTATTTCTGCTTGAATAATAAAGATTCAAGTAGAAATACATGAAAACCTGGCCTTTGGTTGTTGTTGTTTTTCCAATCCTCTGAGGCATGATGCTAGGTTGTCTATTTGCCACCTTTCCATCTTTTCTTATGAGCACTAATTGCTGTGAATTTCCCTCTTACGACTGCTTTTGTGGTGTCCCATAGATTATGAGAACTCATGTACTCAAGATGATTTATTTCCAGAATTTCTTTTATTTCAGACCTAATTTCTTCAGTAGTTAAGAAGTCATTCAGAAGTAGGTTGTTTAGTTTCCAAGTGTATGTGTATTTTTGAGACTTTTTCTTTAAAACAATTATTTTTTCAGGAATTGGTAATAATTGTTGAGAGTGTGTGAGTGCCTTTCTTAGAAATATTTGCATTTTACTCTAGAGATACCCAATAATGGGATTCTTTTCAGGTTTACTTTCAGATCTCTTGGAGCAGAGTAGTAGAACAGTACTTTGGGATGAGACTACTTCCAGTTCTTTCCCAACCTGCATGGTATAAATGGTTGCCTCTATATACTAGATTTTGAATGGAATATTAAAGAGAAATTGCCCTGAGGTTAGATGAAATATCTATGCCCTCCCACAAGCACCCTAAGCACCAAAGTCTAGAGGACTCACTTTCAAATATAAAAACACAATGCCTAGATCTCCTGAAGACATGAAAGCAATAGACATCTTCGAAGAGATGAGAAAGTAATCTTGTCATGTTAGAAAGAATCTTCAAGCAGAACTAAGGATATCTGAGGTTACAACTTTCACCCCAATAAATTATGTGAACTTGGGGTAACTCAGTCTTTCTGAACTTGCTCCCCCTCCCCAAGATCTTAATAGGGGTATGTCTACATAGATCAAAATTACTAAGGTACTGTGGTATAATAGGAAATATACATCTGGGTTTTGTCTCTGGGTCCTGACACAGAGCTCTTAAAACACTTGGATTTTCTAGAGTGGGAGGAGTGATAGGAGCATCTACTCAGGGCCAGCAGGTGGTATAGCGGTTACATCACTGGATTCCCACATGGCTGACTGCAGTTTGAGTCTTGGACCCGGTGACTTGAAAGTCATACCAGGTGCATGTGCGCATGTGCCTATGATCCCAAAGGAAGAATGTAGGAGAAGGGATTGCAGAATGGGCATCCCCCCAAGGAGTGACTTCTCACTGTCCCTCTAACTCTGTCTCTG